GGCTGACAAGGAATCATGGTAGTTTTAGTATTACAACAGCTGGAAATATACCTTTTCACCACTCTTACTTTACATATGTACCTCAGTGTGTATAAAACACACTTTTGTACTGTAAACCAAGACTGTTTACTATAGTCTTCTTTTGTAGGATATGAATGGTGTGTCCCTGTCTCCAACCAGTCCAAACGCAAGCACCACTTACCAGTGTTTCCCACTTGAAGTCTTGAAAGGCAAACAAAAACATGAACTACCTGAAGGAGTGGATCCAGCAAAGAAAGAGGTAAGTTGTCTGAAAAAGATGCAGGTTGGTATTTGTAAACATAGCAAACCTATACGCTTTACCTACAAAGCAGTCAGTGGTTAATGTCCTAGTAAGATGAACTAGAGGAGATGATTTGCAGGTCAATGAAGACTCCATCTTGATAATGTCATACGGAAGGGCAAGGGAAGGTTGGCTAGGCAATGGTAATGTTCAGTTTTGTCATTTTGTAATTTTCTCTGTGTTTTGCATACCATGTTATATACATAGATACTCTTGGAAATTGTACCATTATTATAACGGGAGGAATTAGAGAGGATGATGTTATACATACTATGCTCAGGTTATACCCAGTGCAGACATTCAATGTAGTTATTCATCTTTAAAGATTTTATCTGCTTTTCTTTCAGAATTACCTCTCTGATCGGGAGTTCGTGTCCGTCTTTGGAATTACCAGAGGAGAATTCACTGCTTTGCCATCCTGGAAGCAGCTAAATATGAAAAAACAGCTGGGGCTATTTTAAAATCTCCTGCACTATGGCATTTATGGGGAATTACTACCAAAGGATTTTGTTTCTTTGTTTTCTTAATATCATGGCCAATAACTAATAGCATGACAATGCACAGGCTGTAACTGCAGCGAAAGCAGATACTGTATGTAAAACCATGTAAGACATAATATTGCAAATAGCTGGCATTCCAATTAATAATTTAGTCGTGGCATTGGCATCTGAGCATGGCAATCTATTGCTGCCTTGCAGGGCAGTAGGAAAAAGTGCTCAAAACAATGTGGATTGGTTTTATTGATAACAAAAAGGTGATGGTAGTTTTCATAAACAGGGTCATAAGTCAGGACGTGACCAAATATCCTGGAAGACACGTAATATAAGACTATTCTCTTGATTTCTATTACTCAACAGATAAATGAGTATAACCAATTTATGTTACTCTCATTGTTCTTTAGAAATAGGAGTAATGATATAAAATGTATTTTATGTAGTGTATTGTCAATAACAGGAGATTATTCCACTAATTAGTCCTGAAATTTGAAGTTCTCCCAGTGGCAACATCACCGTCAAAATTATGCAAAGTCCCCACATGGTGACCGTACCACTCTAAAACAAAGAAATACACGGTTATTTTTTAGTAAGGTGCAGTACGAGTCCAGAAAGTTTAATTACATCCATCGCCTCAAAAATGTAAACATTGAGGTAACAAATATTTAACAAAGGGTGTGCGGCTAACAAATGCCTGTTTAGTAATTGCCAAAAAAAAAGGTGCCTTTTCGGAAATTTTAGGGAAATGCAACAAGTGATATTACAAACACTAGAATAGCTTTGATATTTGACAGGATTGTTTGTTTTTATGCTGTACTATAGATGTGGCTCTACATGAATATGCTGCTAGGTAGACTTTAACAGCAACTGTTTTTTTTTTTTTTTCTTATTAGTTTGGGAAGTCCAACATGTCAAAGTGCCCTTTTCAAACAAAAGCTATACTGTCACTGAGAACCCATGAAAACTAAACGCTTTGACGTATGTTTAAAGGTGCATTATTTAAAGAAAACGCATGTTATCAATTATGTTATCTTAAAAATATATAGATAAAGATATTGATTGCCAAACACCATAAATGTAATGGTAAATATTGAAATTAAATATGTCCTGAGCAGCCATTTATTAAATAAGCACTCTAATGTGAGAAATACAAATGTTTATTTCTAATGTTAGAAGTACTCTTTGGCTATTTAGAATCTGGGGCCTACAAAGATCCTGTAGGACAGTAACTGGAAACAGCGCTAGCATGCTGACTGAGCGACAGCCATTTTAGGTCTGCTTAGAGAGCAACGTTAACATGGCCTTGCTAACAGAATATACCTTTTACATTTTTTTAGACTGCAGGAACAGTCTCTTTACACCAATACCACAGCATTAAGTTGTAATAGTTCTGGTGCGTAGAGTGTCCTTTTAAAGCACAGTGCTCATACAGAGAAAGACTAATGCTAACAAGACAATGCGAAATAAAGCCCTGTTTATCATGTCACATTCACAATCCTAACACAAAGATCCCTGCCAGGCTTCCATTCTGTCACTTACAGGGTTATTCACTAAACACCGTTAAAAAATTACCAAATTCAGAATGGTAATTCACATACTTACTAAAACCAAATACAGTCAGAATTCAGTCGAACCTAGCAAATCTGCAGCAATCGCCTGGATGCATTGAGTTTCAGGATTAAAATCAGTGCTTTCACATTGGAAAAGGGTGGGAGACTTTAAATTACGTAATGGGAGGTGGACAGTGATCTGCTCCCATCTGTGACTAGCAGGTACGTGCCCTAATTATTTTATTAGAGGGGAGGATCTGCTCTCCCTTGCTAGTGCTGCCAGCAGGCAAATAGTTTTAAAAAAAAAATAAAAAAATTTAATCCGGTCCTGGGTTTGAAGTACTTAGGTCTTTCATCTGTCAGGCGGTGATGGATATCTGCTGAAATTCAGGCCCATTCGGTACCTCAATTGCAAAACCGGACATGGTTGAATAGTGTGAATGTCCAGATTGTGCAGAAAGAATGGCCTTGTGTGCAGTTGGATGGTTTACCCGATTTGGACTTAGATGAGTAACCTGAATAATCTCTACAGAGTGACTGTAAATGGCAGCTTGCGTCCCTCCGCTTCTCACTCCATAGTAGCGTTTGTAGATCAAAAGTCCCTGGCTGTATTCTAGCATTTAGGGAAGGAGACAGTGAGGACTCTGAACATACTGAGTAAATTACAGAGGTTATTTTCCATCTGTAACAGAGGACTACAATGCCCTGTATAGTACAGATACTTGATGAGAGTATTCTGTCCACATACAAAAAAAAAAAAATCCATTTGTGGTGGCAATTCTAGGAAGCTGCTTTCCAAATATACTTTGTAAATAATGATAAGCAGATAATTTGACTTGATTTTTACATGTCAGATTTTGTCATTCCTATTATACGTCTACAATACTGCAAAACAAAGGATACCTTATCTCTAAAACATTATATTCCCCAAATATTTATTTACAGGAAGAATAAATAAATGTAATTGTTTGTTTACATAATTATGTTTTCAGGCATTATAAACAGAAATGCATACATGAAATTAACATTTTGTGCAATTAATGGTTTAAACATATAACATTTACTCTTTAATTTTCTTGTATGTGCCAATACAAGATATAGTGCTAGTATAGCTTACCTCTTTATCAAAGTGTATGTTAGCATCTGTGTTTCAGCCAGTTTCCTGAAGGTATGTTTAGCTTTAACATTTCACAATGCAGTTAGTCAGTGGCACAACATAACACAAAACTGATAGCGTTTTCTTTACATTTAAATAAACCAAACACTTGCACTAAAATCGAAATGTACCACAATGCAGCCAACAAGATTATAAGGAAGACCCTTTGCGGGATAAGTCAAAAGAAATTGTGTGTGAAAATTAAATGAAGGAGAAGTTGAATTAAATTTTAAAAATTTCAAATAAATGAGTTTGGGTGTTATTTTATGCGTATTATAATTTTGCTTATTGCAGATGTTTGAGCCTTCGGTGTAAAAATTTTTTTTTTTTTAAAAAAGCTGAAAATACAAACTATTTAAACAAGGGTCAATCTATATTTTAGACATTGTCACTACTTGATAAATAACACTAAATTGAACATTGCACCAAATCAGATTCTTCAGAAGAAACAATGGGATGCATTTAAAAATAGCCACTATGGGGCTATTGGGGTAATGTACTTACCTGTGCGATAATTCAGATATGCTATTCAGGATCATCCGAGTCTTTTATATATCACAAATCACAAGCTGAATAAAAGTAGCATAATTTAACTAGGGTAAGCCATGAAGCTTTCTGAGCCGAGCCAATATCTCAGAGCCAATCAATGCTTTCCTGTGGGGAATAATCTGATGCTGAATGTCCCCATGCCGAGAACGTCCAGCGCCTGTTACCGGACCAAAGTCTTACATCTTCAATTAAAAATCACCATGAGATGTGCACTAACCCAACAAAATACAATCAATGATAATAAGCATCCTTCTGCGCATTTAAAGGGACACTATAGTCACCCAGACCACTTAATCTCATTGAAGTGGTCTGGGAGTAGAGTCCCTTTCCCACTTATTCGTGCAATGTAAATCTTTGTGTGAGGACATTCAGCGTCAGTAAAATCCCCATAAGAAAGCACTGAATGCTTGTGTCTGTAAGCAAAGCTATTTGTCTGTAACAGAATTTGTACAAACTTTATTTAACTGCCACATACTTTGATGTTTAAAAATAAAAAGGGGAAGATGGCCAGACAACTCATAGCCCTCCACAACGGAGACCTTTTCCCCCCTCGAACGGGCATACTAACTGTATCTGTGACTCTTTTGAGGGGACTAGCACACCCTGTTCACCACCATGGGAAGACCCACATGTAGGGACAATAAGTACCACGCCTCATCTCACAGAGGACGCGCAGGGCAGGGTACAATAACTCGCTCAACCCACTGTACAACCCATATGTAAACGTCTGGAAGCACAATCAGTACTACACAATGTAAGCACATAGAACTGTCAGGAATTGTACGAAAGCTAACAAATGGTTTGATCAACTGTAATGTCAATCCTAACAGGTTTTAAATGCAACCCCCTGAACCCCCCCACCCCTTTTTTCCTTTCTGTACCCCTCTGAACCATTATCTTCCGACAAAAATAAAAATTGTCAAATTGAAAAAAATAAAAAGGGGGAGTTCTAAAATTATATATCACTCTTACTAGATATGATTATATTTCAGTTTTGATTTATTTTGCAATGCAGAGTAAAAAAGAAAATCTGTTAATTCAACAACTATGTAGATCTTGTAGATACTTTAGTTATAACTAGCTTGCTTCAGCAGCTTCTGTTTCTTCTCCACATTCAAATCGTACAAAGTCCAGCACGTGTATACCTCGTGGCTGTATATACTGCCCCACTGTTACGCTGGGCTCCAAGAGATAGGGCTGGGACAACATTCTGGTCTCCATATCACCACTTGACTCATCTTCTATGGATCCCAATGACAGAGGACTCATGCCAACTACGTGCTGGCCCATCCTGCGACCAAGTTCAGAGAGATTGCCTTTGAAGTTGCGATCTGCTTGACATATTACTAGCGCCCCATATTTTCCAAAGGACATGTTGGCCAAGGATGGTAGTGCTACAGGAAGAGCACCATGCACATAGGAACCAATGAAGATGTCTGATGGAGCCATCACCCATGCAGCTCTCTTCAATGCCATATTCTCACCAAGCTTTCCTTCATAAGACAAAGAGGCATAGTGAGCGGAATTAATAACTTTTTATTTTTTAATACATGCTGATTAAAACCTCTTGGGAGATAGGGGGAAGGGAGAGGAAGGAGGTTAGATGAGAAAAGACAAAAAAGGAAACTCCAGTCCCCTAAAGCACCCTAGCTTACTTTACAGGAGAGAAATTAGCACAATTAAACATCTCATTAGTAATCAATCTTAAACAGATAAAGGAACGCTCTAATTTAAAAATAAACAATGAATATATAATTATTAGATCCTTTAAAAACCCAAGAACGTGTAACAAAAAAACCCAAAACAAACAAACAAAAAAAAAAAAACAGTTGGAAAAAAAAATTGCTTGTGTCTTTTGTGATATCCAAAGACAAAAACACATTTCTGATGGCCAAACAAAAACATGTGTTCTTAGGGGGTTAAATCAAGTACATCTTACCTATTGCCACCGCTACCTGGTCCTTCAGTAAAGACTCTTCTGTTTTCATCTGTAAAAGTTCTTCACTGCCCATAAAACCCTGTAACATATTGACAAACATTGGGTCACTATATTCAAATAATTTGTAGAGTTGTGTCAAAAGCTGCACCCATATGACAATGACATATGGAAAAGGACAATGGAGGTGATCTAATAGAATAATAAGTATAACAGCAAAATCAAACCAAGAAAGGAGAAAAAAAAACAAACAAACAAACATGCTCATATATAAATGAAGATGATAGAAATGGGAGTAAATAAAATCTTATAAAAATATAGATGTTTAGAGTCCAAATCAAAATGAAGACAGAAAACTAAGTGACAACTTGTATTTTATGGAATTCAGAGAAATACAAATTAGCAGAAAGCAAGACAATCATTGTTACATTTACTGTATGCTTAATGAAATGTGATATTATTAATATTATGCAAGCATAGAAATATATACAGTTGTAATACAACTAAACTTATTGAAAATCAGGTTTATTGTCAAAATGTACAGACTTTCAGCTGTTGCAATGAACAAATCAAACAAAAGCAATTGAAATTGCTCAACGCAACAAATGCTTCAAGTAGGTATGCTTGGGATCACTGTCTTGTTGGAGGGTCCAATGACACCCAAGCTTCAGCTTGCTCACAGACGGCATTACGTTTTCTCATAGAATTTTATGACATCTCAATGAATCCATCTTGCCTTCCACATACTGAAGGTTTCCAGTGCCAGACGATGCAAAGCAACCCCAGGGCATCACCGAGCCGCCACCATGCTGAACTATTCTTCCTCCATACATACCACTAATCCATTGGACAAAAAAAGATGCAGTTTTGGTTCATCGCTCCACAGAACAGAATCTCAAAATCTGTTGCTTATTTATAGGATTTTGAGCATAGTGGTGATTTTTCTTGTGCTTTTTGATCAGTAGTGGTTTATGTCTTGGAGTTCTGGCATGGAAACCTTTTGCGTTTAGTATGCGCCTTACTGTGCTCACTGAAACATCAGTACCTGTCATCATCAAGTCTTGCTACAAGTCTTTTGCAGTCACTGAAGGGTTTTTCATAACTTACATTCTCAGAAATCTGGTTACAGCCATTGGGAGCTTACTTTTTCTGCCCCATCCAGGTAGTGTGAACACTATTCCTTCATTTTTGAACTTGCAAACTATGCTTTCATGTTCCTTGTTTGTGAAGGGCAATGATCTCTTCTCTTAACTTTGTGGACCATTCTTCTGACAGTCATATTTCTAATGTGCAGTCAAACATGGCCCTCAACATACCCCTAGCCAATTCAGGTAGTTCAAACCTTCCAGCTCAAGCACACCTGGTGCAACTAATAAAGACCTTCATAGTTGCATCAGATGTGCTTGAGACAACTCCTGTTTTGCATATTTGTGTTCTTGTGAGAGATTCTACTCAGCAGGGTTGAATAATTTTGAGTTTGGAGAAGTCATTGTAAGTCACATTTTTAGTTGAATTTGGGTAAACCAGTTGAAACATTCACTGTGTTCAGCTATTTCAATTGCTTTTGTTTGATTTGTTTATTGCAAACAGCTGAAAGACTGCAAATTTTGACAATAAACCTGATTTGCAATTTGGGTTGAATAATTTTGATTACAACTGTATATATTTTTCAGTTGTGAGAATGTAGTGGATAGGAGGAGCTGAAGGGAAATAAATATATATTATTGTTCACTCTCCAAAATGATCTTACTGCAAAAATGTGCATATTTGGGCTGCTTCTTGGAGCTAAGCATCACATGTCAAGTCACTTATATGACACAGAGCACCTAGATCTTATTAATACAGCTCACACTGCACCCATCAATTACCAAGTGACATCTCTCTACAGTCCTGGGTTTAAATCTATGCAACAAATCATGCACTTGTCACCCATATCAAATACAGGACACACTCAACTCAGATTACACGAATTGAGTGGCATAAATAAATGTCATTAACATGTAGACCCTAAAAGTAGAGTCTTGTGACAGCAAGACTTTTTACTCATTGGCTGGATTTTGATGCAGACTGAGCACCCTTTAAACACATATATAACACACAAATTCTTTTTTTTGAATATTTAATCTTTATTTTAAATTTTTTTCTTTTAAATCTCATTAAATACATATATCATACAAATACAAATATCATACAAATATACATTTGTAATACAAACAAACAACACAGCAGCAAAATAGGGGAGGGAGAAGAAAAATACATCAGAAAGACTTCCATAATAGAGTGGTAATATCATTTAGATAAATCTCATAATTATTTACAGTGTTCATGGAATTGTTCTACTGTTAATTGAACGACACTATTTTATACATCAATCATCTCAATACACTTTAACCAAACAGAAATCTTATTGCTTAGTCTTTGTTTACTTAGCATCAGCTCCATTCTAATCTGAAACTCGAGTTGAGTTTTAACTTTCTTCCAGGGGACTTCTAAATCCCTTTTCCACCATCTCGCAATTACTATTTTAGCCGCTAAAAACAGATGTATAAGGATTGCTTTTAATTCATATGTCATATGAGGCCAATTTAGGTGAAGTAGAACTACCTCTGGAGAGATAATCAACTCGAGTTTTAAATTGTTAGATATAAAATGCTGCATTTTCAACCAGAGATTTTTTAATTTATAGCAATCCCACCAAATATGTCTAAAATTGCCTCTAATACTATTGCATCTCCAACAGATAGGATTTACTAGAGGGTAAATTTTATTCAATTTAGCTGGTACTAAGTACCACCTATTTAAAACTTTAAAGTGCGTTTCTAATAAATTTAATGAATGTATATTCTTCTTAACATCCATCATTGAAGAACCCCATTGATTCAGATTTATATCGATATTCAAGTCTTGTTTCCAAGCCTGTATGGCAGTAGGATTTGTGTCTTCAGCTATTGATTTAATTAGTATTAGAGCTTTAGAAAGTGGTTTATTAACTTTTTTTGATGTAAATAATAAATCTATCGAATTGCTTAAATTAGATTTTGGTATTATTAGATGTGTATTAATATAGCTTTTAAGTCTTAAAAAATTAAACACCTCTCTAGGAGGGAGATTGTGTATCTCTGTTATTTGAGCAAAGGTTTTAATTAATCCTTCTGTCAATAATTGGTCCAAAGTCGTTATCCCTACTTTTTTCCAATTATTTAAGTTTAAGTCTTCCACTTGTTTTTCTACAATATCTAACTCTAAATAACTTGGAACTTTTTTTTCTATATTCATTACTTTTTTAATTTTTAACCAATTTTCCAGTAATTGAGTTAAAATAATACTGGCATATTCTTTTTTCTTTGGCATTTTATTTATATTCCAGATTAAACAATCTAAGCTAGAAACTTCTCCTGCCTTCAATTCCATTTTATACCATCCCTCATCTTTATTTTCTTTCATTTGCATTCTATAGACATGTAGGGTAATAGCTGCTTTAAAGTTATTCATTATGAGTGGATAATCAAGTCCACCTTTATATATTTTCTGCGCTAATATTGACTGTTTCAATCTCGGCTTCTTGCCTTTCCAGATGTATTGAGTAAAACTTCTTTGTATTAATTGAAGCCAATGGATTGGGATATGGAGAGGTAACATTTGAAACATATAATTCCACTTTGGTATGACATATGAATTGATAACGTTTATTCGCCCCAAAAAAGTAATCTCTAGGTTTCTGCGATCTTTTAACCATTTATTGAGATCTAATAATAATGTTAGGAAATTTACTTCCATAATCTTATTTGTCTCTCTGGTTATTTTAATTCCTAAGTAATCCATACTTTCTTTAACCCAAATAAAATCATATTTGTTTTTAATCTCTCGTTGTATCCTTTTATTTAGGTTAACATCTAATATCAAGGATTTATTTATATTTAACTTATAGTTTGATATGAAGCTATATCGCTCTATTTCTTGCATTATGCGTTCCAAAGAATTTTTAGGGTTTGTAAGAGTAATTAAAATGTCATCAGCATATAAGCTAATTTTTTGATCCTCATCCATTTCTATATGAAAATTTACAGTCTTTGTGATAAAAAAGGAGGATTTCCTCCTATGATTTTAATATTTTGTTTTATGTGTTTGTGTAGATATGTTTATGCAGCAATAGGGAAGGGCAATGGTTATCGAGTGGAAAGGGATGTAGAGAGGTTTTTGAAAATAATATGATAAAAATGCTTACACTTAATGTTCAGGGATTGAATACTATAGCGAAAAGAAATCTATTGTACAAATACCTCAGTGAAAAACAATTGAATTTAATATTCCTACAAGAAACTCACTGGAGACAAGTGGATAAACAAAATTGGGGGGGTAAAAGATTTCCACTTATAATTCAAGCTTCCAATAAGGAAAAAAAAAATGTGGAGTAGCTGTGGTATTTGGAGAAAAGATTAAAGTTGAAGTAATTCATCAAATACAAGACACTAAAGGCAGGTATTTAATAATAATATGCAAAATTGACTCTGTACTTTTTACATTATGTAATATATATCTTCCTAATCATTTACCAGTTGCTTATTTAAAAACAATTCTGGAAAAAGTAGATGAAGTTAAAGTGGGAAAGTTAATAGTGGCGGGGGATTTCAATGCTGTACTAGACCCTCAGATAGATAAAAAATTAATGAAAGGAAATACTTTAAATCAGATGGTTATAAAACAAGCAAAAGCCTTAAAAAAAATTAAAGATGAATATAATCTATTCGATATTTGGAGAATTTTTAATCCTAATGAGAGAGACTATACGCATTTTTCTAAAGTGCATTTTTCCTATTCAAGATTAGACATGATTTGGGTCGACCCAAGTATTATTGATATGACCAAAAAAACAAAGATTGACGAGATAGTATGGACAGATCACGATGGAGTTTTTTGTGAAATGATTTTTAGTACATTTAAAAGAGAAGCTTATACTTGGCGGTTAAGAGATAATTTGCTTTGTTGTGAATTAAAAAAAACTCATATAAGAGATAATATAAAAAATTATTTTAAAGAAAATATCTCAGAAAATATTGATTCATCTATTTTGTGGTGTGCCTTTAAGGCCGTTATAAGAGGTCATATTATCAAGTTACAAAGCCAACTTGATAAAAATAATACTTTGGCATTTTTACATACAAAATTAAGAGATTTGACTAATATCAATAAACAATCTCCATCTTCTGAAATTTATGAAAAAATATTAGAACTTAAAGAAAAAATAAAGCAAAAATTAATGGACACGATAGCTAAAAATATGGTTAGACTAAAATTTAAATATTATTCCAAAGGCAATCGAGCTGAAAAGATGCTATCCCAAAAACTTAGAAAACAAAAAGTACAAAATAAGGTAGACAAAATAATACAGAATGGAAAAATAGCACTAACCCCCAGAGAGATTGGAAAGTGTTTTAATGAATATTATTCCAATCTATACAATATTCCTCAGATTAATACAGATGAGGATATTAAAAACTATTTAAATAATATAAAGAAGCCTCAATTAACTTCTATTGAAAATGATTTCTTAAATAAACCTATAACTATGGAGGAGACTATGAAAGCAATAAATGATTTAGAAAGATCTAAAACACCAGGCCCGGATGGGTTTAGCAACCTATTTTATAAAACATTTAAAGATTTAATATGTCCACATTTGACCTCTGCTTTTAACATAGCGGCAAACAGAGGATTTTTACCAGCAGAGATGCTAAAAGCTAATATCTTGCCTATTCTAAAAAATGATAAAAACCCCACTGATATCAAAAACTACCGTCCGATATCTCTAATAGATGTTGACACTAAGTTATACGCTTCAGTTTTGGCTGCTAGAATAAAAAAACTTCTTCCACTAATCATCCATAAAGATCAAATAGGATATGTTCCAGGTAGAAATTCCTATACAAGTATAAGGAAAATTATTAATATCTTGGATGATGCAAATAGATATGATGTTCCAGTTCTGACTCTGTCGATTGATGCTGAAAAAGCATTCGACAGAGTCAGCTGGAAATATTTAGAAGCCGTTTTACAACATTATGGATTGGAAGGTTGGATTAAGAAAGCTATAATGGCACTATATGTAAATCCTGTTGCACGAACTATTGGACCTAATATAGTCGCCCCATGGTTCCAACTTAGAAATGGTACCCGACAGGGTTGTCCCCTCTCACCATTGCTCTACTTGCTGACTATTGAGCCATTGGCTGAGAATATCAGGAATAATAAAGAGATCCATGGTTATAAAATAACACACAAATTCTTAAAAGGAAGTATACACACACGCACACACACATCCAATATTTAAAAACATTATATGGACTAATTTTAGATTTACAAACTGAATTTAAGCTTGGTAACTTCCAGAAGGCAGGATAGTAAGATTTTATCTACATATTATTTTAATATTTTTTTCTTGTAGGGTTTCCTAACCCAGATCTAAAAGCACACAAAACATCCAGGATTATGCGATTACCCTTCTGTGCCTATGTTGATATCAACAAAACCTGGACCACTGGTATGCCCTGAAGACTGGCTGGAAATGAATAATCTATAGACACACACATCAACAATGTGCTTTACTGCACTAAGTTTGCTGGAACCAAATGTTATTATTGCATTCGTGTGTAATCAGAAGACTCATTAGTATGACTTGAGGCTTATGTATGTGGTACCACAGCACTTACCTTCATGAATGAGGACAAGCTCTGATCATCTCTTTGGCATTGTCTCAGCGCCCCCAATGCCACTTGTTGAACTAACTGCTGAAACTTCACATTTCTGGCAACAAAATCTGTTTCACAATTAACCTTTAAAAAAAAACAAAAAAAACACATCTTTGTAAATTACTAGTGTGTAATTAAACATTCCGTTGTGTAACAAAATTCTTGAACATGGGTACATTACATTAACATGTATCTACACAGAAATAATACCTAACTAATACCTAAGAAATATTAAAACAACGGCCAGAAAATAAAACAATGCATGTTACAGGCAGATATCTATCCATCTATTAAACTACAACTCCAATAATTATAAAACCTGCACATTAAAAATGCACACTGTAGGGGGCGGGGCCGGGCGGCCATGCTAGCAGGCTGCAGGTCACTATGGCTCCTGAGGAATCCAACTAATTTTGAGCAAATACCTACCTTATTCTGCCTGGAATACCCTGGAAGTTTGTGGCATCAAGTCCTGGAGTGTCCCGGTGCAGCTAGAACGCCTGATACAGGTGATTCTGGGTCCTGGAGAGATGCTCTGGGGCTTGGGGACTGAGGCCTACTCGGGAGGGGAGTGGGGCGGACGGCCGCTGCCCCGCTTTCTGCCACGGCTAATGCGACACTACACTAAAGCTGACACCCTCCCCGGCCTCGTTCACCCCCCCCTTTGGACCGGCGGGGGTCATCCCGGTCCCCACCAGGCAGGCAAGCAAACATCTGCATCGCTGCTGGGTGACTCGACACCGAAAGCGGCTCCCACGCGGCCTCCTTAAAATGGCCGACGGCGGCGCAATTACCCTAATGGCAGAGCAGGAGAGGATGAACCCCTTATGGCGCGCTGAAGAAGAGCCAGCAAACCACATAACCCAAGCTGTAAACACATCTGGAATACGACCGCAGACGGGCACTTACACTGAAGTGGCAATCCTCTGAAACAGGCTCAGTACCTGCTCCATCTAAGCACGCCTTACCAGCACTTTCCACAACTGAGGCTCGAGATCAACACTGGAGGAGTGCTCAGAGAGGCCATCTTCAAACACCAGCTCACCTAAATGCAGCCCGCACCTGGACATTGTGGCTTGAAAAGCACCGAGCGCATACCCACCTAATGACCGGAAAGTCTGTCAACGGCAATCTGCAGACCCTGTGCGGGACTGAGAGACTCAGTGAACCTCGTGGGTACCCTACAGCTACCTTTTCACACCTTCCACATTGTCAGAGCCAGCGGTGACTCCAGCTTCTCACGACGAATTGCACCAAAGACACAGTCGGAAACTGTCCCCGACAGCCTCAATAAGAGATTACTTTGGCTGCATTTACTGTTACTCGGACATCCCTGCTGTTAATACCGCAGTTACTGTTATAGTAAATATTATTTTTATTCTTCTGCCTATTGTTGTCTACCCAGTATGCTAAACTATGCCTGGTGGTACTATATCCAAATATCCAAGTACCTACCTTAGCTAAGCCTGAGAAATTTTTGTCTCACCAAAATGTCAGTATGTAATTCTATATTAGTACCTCATAAGCTGTAACATCCACCTGACAGATAGGATTAACTCTCAACTAAACTACTATACTGTCAGATCGCATACGTAGTTCATTATCACGCTAAGTAAACAGTAAACAGAATATGGTACCTGAATGTAATCTTATATAGGAGCCTTTATTATCAGGAAATGCGCATTGTCTAGCAAATACTATACCTGTTATCCACCTATGGTCTAAGCTTGTTAATATAATATAAAATGAGGTTGATAATCCTAGGAGATTTCTGTAATCTGTTATAGTGACCCTAATCTGTACAACTCTTGCAAGTCTCCCTCTCTTTTTTCTGTACCACCATAAGCACATGCCTCAATAAAATAAAGAATTTAAAAAAAAAAAAAAATGCACACTGTATTAGTTTACATGAACGTATTAAAAATATATACACTCTACCTTGCATGGGCTCCAGTAAGATAAGCAGCAATGATCAAAATAATGGTAAACATGGAGGCTGAATAAAGTCACCTATTAAGGTTTATGTACTGAACACTGAAGTGCAGTAGATTGTAAGACTACTAAAAGCAGCACGGTCACTGAAATTCCAACCCAGTCAAGAGATATGAAGAGACAAATTAAGGACTATTTTTTTCCTCTGTATTTCTCCGTCTCCTGACTTTTTTAAATTCAGGGTGGAGTCTATGTATCAAGCCCCCTCAGTGTCGGCAGCAGGGAATTGGCTGTGTCTATGGAGGATCCTGCAGCCTCGTACAACAGAGATGTCTGCTACTGAGCAGGGCAAGGTTCAGGTAAGTAATCTCACATTGACCACCAGCGGCGATGTCACTGTTGGGGGACTTTGCAAATTCTGCAAAGACCTGCCACGATGACAATGCCATTTTAAGGGACACTCCAAACACCAATAATGCATTTGCAGGTTTTACCTTCATTAATATGCTCTATTTTGTATTTTCTTTGGCATAAATCATTATAGTTTAAGCACTCCAAAATAACACTTTGCAGAATGCTGCACAATAAGTCTACCTGCTTAGCCACACCCACTCACTCCAGAAAGAGTTTGTGAAAATGTATGAACACAGCTGAACCACAAGCAGCACAGAGTGATATGAACTAAGCAACCTGCATTAGGAGGAGAGGACATCAAGGGAGACATATAGTAAGGATATCAAAACTGGTTTGTGGTTTTTCTGACAGTCTGCAGCCATGTTATAATTTACATTAAAGTTGTACTGGTACCTGGTGTACCCCTTTAATTTTGCCAATTCAGTTCTCAATTAAATACAGCATACTATTGAGAGAGAGTGAACCCCAAAGACTCAACTTTTTCACTTGAAATCTATGAGATGTTGTGAAACCACCCCTCTACTAAATACAAAAATAAACATATTCAGGCACAACAAAATATGCAGAAACTTAATATAACCTCACAGAGTTGACAATCTTTCAACAAACACAAATTGACAACGTGATATTAAAGGGATACTATAAGTGCCAGGAATACAAGCTGTATTCCTGGCACTATAGCTCCCTCTGCCTACCGCCTCCCTTGCGCGCCCCCACCCAGGAAAATAAAAAGTTAAAAACCCTTTATTTACTTACCTTTTTTCCAGTGCTGATGTCCCTCAGCGTTGGGACGATGCTCCACCTTTTCCTCCGTCCCGTGACAAGTGGGTGCCAATGTATTAGACCTCCGCCTAAGAAAGCATTTAATTAATGCTTTCCGCTGGGGAAGAATCTTACACTGGATGTCCTCATGCAGAGCATGAGGATGTCAGCGTCAGATAACGAACCAAATGTCCCTTACGATTCAGGAAGCCCTCTAGTGGCTGTCTAGGACAGACTTAGAGCTGCAATGTAAACATTGCAGTTTCTCTGGAACTTTGCAGCACTAGGTGCAAAAGGGACACTATACCCAGACCACCTCAATGAGTTGAAGTGGTCTGGGTGCCTACAGTGTCCCTTTAATAAGAGGTACTAATATTTAAAATGAATGAACGAGTTTAGAATTACAGCTAAACTAGTCAAGAAACGGTCATGTTATTTATAAAACTATGCAACTTCCCATATAACAAAATGATAAACTACATAAAGCCACAAGATTATGACAGCTTGGAATGGTTTCATACGTATACTCACTTCAACCATCACTGCTGTGTTTCCTTCTTGCAACAGTCCCACAAGTCCCTCTGCAGTCTTTCTTCCTTGCAATTTGGATGCCTTGTTCCATCCTTCTTTCTGAGCCTGCTGATGCAGCCATGTTTCTGCCTTGGGGTGAGAGAGACAGAGACAGTCATGGAAACTGTCCAGGTAGTCATTATCCATCAATAAACACTATGTGCAATCTGTTTACTAGCAGTTTAAACAAAATACCTCTTACAATTTTAAATTAAGCTAAAAGGATAATCATAACAATATTTTTAAAATGTGTTCTTCCATGATGAATTCCCCGCTTGTTGATTTCTTTAACCCCTTAAGTAAGGACCAAACTTCTGGAATAAAAGGGAATCATGACATGTCACACATGTCATGTGCCCTTAATGGGTTAAGTTGATCTAATGATCACAGGGTCACGTCATACTTGTTTTAGATCATTGCTGAACTTCTCCAATGCCTTTTTGCAGTTCATAAACGAATAACCTGTTTTCTTCCGGAGTTTTACTAGAAGGTCCTTATTTGCTGCCAACAATCTGACACCCGAATGAAAGAGTCCAGCCTGCTGCCATAATTGGAGCTGTCAGAATAAAAAAAATTAAAAAAAAAAATATTACATAGAGAATATCCCAGTGCTGTGTTATAACCTTAACACCCAGGTTTCCCAGATCCCCCCCCTCCCAGCTCACTCTGCATTATTACACAGTGACCAATGGCTCTAGCTCCCGGCAGCTCGGTCACTCTGGGTCTTGGTTTTGTGTTTCCGGTCTCAGGCTCACCTTGGCCCGCAGCGCCCCAGACAGTGCAGCCATCCTGAGCGCACCATGCGATGAATGACAGGGCGCACGGTGATGACGTCAGACTGCCATCGGCAGCACGCTATTGACGCAACGGTAAGTTGTTGTTTTTTTAATTTTAATAATAAATGGTTGCAACATGTTTTTTTTTTTTTAATCAATATCATTAAGGATCTAATGATTGTTGGAGAATTTAACAAATTTGTAAAAACTCAAACAAATGCCGGACCTCTACGGCGCCTCGCATGGGTCAAACATGTTTCCTATTTACAGTATCGCCCTGTCAGTGCACAGACACAGAGTCAGTGGATCACGTGCCCCCTAGCGGTGATGAACACACCTCATTCATTCAGGATAGTGCTCTCTGGGCATGTCCTCAATTGCTCCTAAGTGCATGTTTGAGCGTATTATATGTATGTGCTTTAACAGATTTTTATCACTAGGATGTGGTATTGTGATTTTTCCTTTGACAAATGTTATTTTATATTAAATTCAACATTTCAACTGGTGATTGGGCAGAGTCCAAATTCACATTGCTTTATTTACTTTATCAGATTTAATTTAATCTTTGCCAAGTTTATTTCTTTATTAAGTTGATCTGGTGATCGGAGGGTCACGTCGTACTTGTTTTAGATCATTGCTGAACTTCTCCAATGCCTTTTTGCAGTTCATAAACGAATAACCTGCTTTCTTCCGGAGTTTTACTAGAAAGTCCTTATTTGCTGCCAACAATCTGACACTCGAATGAAAGAGTCCAGCAATATCATAATCCCACAGTGGGATGCAAACACGTTCTCACGGGGCAATTTAGCACCGGGTCTCACAGTTACACCTTGAAGTGCTCACTTGTTTTGTAAATTTTTAAAAATCCTGAGAGTCCAATATTTTACTTCATTATATATGTATATATTTTATTATTTATTTATAAGCCTAATTTGAGTTTATTACCCTTTTCTGCTTCTTACCTCTGGTCAGGAAGGGGGGACAATACATTTCCTGGTGGTCTGGTTGTATTTTTTAGGCTTTAGCTTGCATCTTCACCAGGGGCAGACTCTTGATCCCGGTGTTCTATCAAAATCCCCTACCCTGTTAGAATTCCTTATCACTGTCACTTCCGGTGGCACAGCCATAGAGGAAGTGAAGCCAGATCCGCCAGAGGTTGGTTTACTCGTTGGGGCATGAGATCCTAATGGGGTTCAGTGTGCGCGCACAGCGCGCTAGGTTGCTTTGACGTTGCGTGTGCACATGCACAGGTGGGATGTCCATTTGAAGTGTGAACTGCGCATGCTCAGTGTCAGGTAGGTTTTTCTAATGCTGAGAGCTCGCATGCGCCAAAATAGGGTAGGGCAGGTAATTTTGACGCAGCTACTGCACACGTGCCCCCTAAGGATCCCATACCACCTTCCATGGGTAAGCCAGCTTCCAGCTGTTTCGGCCTCATTTCCGGAGCGGCCAAGTCACCAGAAGTGACGGGGGTATGGTTCTAACAGGGTAGAACGGCATTTGTGCAGCATCAGAGCATTGTTGTGGTAACCCTGACAGGCCAGGCTTACGAGAGTTGGAGGACCCTGCAAAAGGACAGACAAAGTCTCCTATGCTCCACCTCTTGCAAAGGCCCAGTAAGAGAGATCTTTGATCTTACCTTCTTTATCTGGCAAGATCACGGCTATATGTGTATGTATTTATGAGTATGTTTTTGAACCTTTGGCCAAATTTGTGCACTTTTTCAGAAAATTTCTAATGTCTCGATTACCTACCTGTTTAAAAGATATGCAAGATTATTTTGTGCTGTATTATGGGTTTGAAAATTTTGGACAATGTAGCATTAGCTACTCTGGATGTACAAATCTATACACAATCAGCCTATATGAAATGGGCTTAAAATCAATGTCCACCATCTTACCACGTTTAGAGAATGATAAAGGTCCTTCCATTCAATTCCTGTTCGTATTGGATCTTGTTCTGAAACATTATTTATTTTATTTATTTATTTATAAAATATTTTACCAGGAAAGATACATTGAGATTTCTCTCGTTTTCAAGTATGTCCTGGGTCCACAAATCATTGCATTGTTACATTAGGTACAACAAAATACAAAAACAATATTAATACACAATATATACAAAATTTAACATAGAACAGGCAGGAAATATATAATCAACCATGACACGTGCATTCTGTTTTGAGGTATGTAGAGAGGGATCTCTTAAAAGACTTTAGGCTTAGGGAAGATTTTAAATTGTGCGGGAGGTCGTTCCACAATTGCGGTGCTCTGTAGGAGAAGGAGGATCGGGCCGCTTTCTTTTTGTATTGAGGTAGACTAAGTAAAGTGCTTGTACTGGATCGGAGGTTATAGAAAGTGGGAACAGCTGGGGAAAGCATTTTGTTCAGGTAGGGTGTGAGTTTCCCAGAAAAGCTCTTAAAAACAAGGCTGGAAAGATGAAGGGTGCGTCTGGATTCCAGCGACAGCCAGTTTAGTTCCTTTAGCATGTCACAATGATGGGTCCTGTAATTACATTGTAGCACAAATCTGCAGAACGAGTTATACAATGTGTTGAGTTTATTAATGTGGGATTGCGATGCAGACGCATATACTACATCCCCATAATCAATGATTGGCATCAGCATTTGCTGTACAATCTTTTCCTTTACTGTAGGGCTTAGGCAGGCTTTGTTTCTGTACAGGGCACCTAATTTTGGATAAAGTTTAGATGCAAGCTTTTCTATGTGCAGGCTAAAAGATAGATTGGGGTCTAATATCATACCCAAGTATTTGAAAGAGTGGACCGCGGTCAGTGTGCCATTTGAATTTGTTTTGATGGATAGGTGGGGATTGTGTAATTTGTGTAATTTAGGTACCGTTCCAAAGATCATTGTGACAGTTTTGTCAGTGTTCAGGAAGAGTTTGTTTTTTGCGATCCACTTTTCTACCTCTGTAAACTGGTCTTGGAGCAAAGCCTCAAGTTGAGGTAGATTGGATTTGCTCGCATAGATTACCGTGTCATCTGCGTACATGTGTACATTTGAGGATTGGCAGACATTAGGCAGATCATTTATAAATAATGTAAATAGTAGGGGGCCGAGAATGGAACCCTGGGGAACACCACACGTGACTGGGAGAGGGAGGGAGTCACTGTCAGAAATGGACACATATTGCAAGCGATCCGATACATACGATCGAAACCAGTTTAAAGAATGATCACCAATACCTGAGTTTTCGAGTTTGTGCAGTAGAATGTCGTGGTCTACTGTGTCAAAGGCCTTAGCAAAATCAAGGAAAATAGCTCCAGTTAGGGCTCCTTGTTCCATGCCAGTTTGGATGTCATTGCAAACTTTTAGGAGAGCAGTTGTAGTGGAGTGATTCTGGCGAAAGCCCGATTGATCAGGGGTCAGATAGTTTAATTGTTGGTAGTACTCACAAAGTTGCGTATGGACACATTTTTCTAAGATTTTTGACAATACAGGGAGCAATGATATTGGGCGATAGTTAGAAACCAAAGTAGTGTCACCACTTTTATGGATAGGCACTACTCTCGCAGTCTTACTATTTTTGTGTTGAAATTTTTTTTTTTTTTTTTTTAACTTACACGCTTTGGATACCTCGATGGGAGCAGTGATGGTATCAATATACGCCAATGCATTTATGTATGAGTTTGAAATGGAACAAATTCTAGATCGTGTGAAAAAAAAAAAATTGTCTTAGTATAAACTGTGTGGATGACGTCTTCCCTCATTTGGTGAGATACGAAGCAAGCTCTTAAAATTTTGGTAGACAGAATAAATGATCAACCACAACCAATCCGTTTGACCCTGATACACAGTCTTTAAAGCATGCAATTTTTAGACGTAGAATGATACAGAAAGTAACGCAAACTTAGTTATAACTTGTTTTGAGAAACCTATGGATCGTAATTCATTTCTACAAGCCCACAGTTTCCATCCACGCACCTCAAGGAATCTATTACTATTTCTCAATTTTTAAGAGTATGGAGAATTAATTCAGATACATTTTTGGCAGGGGAACAAATTGACCAGACGACTAATAGATTCCTTACAAGAAGCTACTCATCAAGCATATTAGAGACAGCCAATAATGGAGTATTCCAAATTATACCGTGTCAAGTTCATCCACAGGCAAAGACAGAACAAAGAATAATTATACCATAAACATGTCATGCTGCATCATCCACAAACATTGGAATATGTTGTTAATTGATCCTATGTTACCTGATATTTTAGGACAACTCTAATCATTAGCTATAAACGAGGTAAAAATATTATAGACTTGGTAGTTCACAGAGAAGTTATAAGGACAATAAGATCATAAAGCATGGATGTTTCAAATGCCTTTGAAATGTGACATATGATGTCTGGGAATTCATATGTTATTATTATTATTTTAATATTTATGTAGCACCATCACATTCCGTAGCGCTGTACAATGGGTGGACTAACAGACATGTAATTTTAACCAGACAGTTGGACGTACAGGAACGGAGAGGTGGAGGGCCCTGCTCAATGAGCTTACATTCCAGAGGGAGAGGGATATAGTGACACAAAGGGTAAAAGTAGGGGTATGAAGTAGGTTGTTAGAAAAGTATTCATTGAGGGTTTAGTAGGTAATGTTAACCCCACATGGGAAAAAGATACACAATTAGACATCACATTACCTGTTTGACAGATTTTGTTATCACTTGCCCATGTGGTTTTTCATATAATGTAAAGACTGACCTCATGGTAAGGATTGAATGAGAGGTTACAGGTCAGCATTTACCACTGCGTTTTGTGATGGAAGGACGGATAAACATTTAGCTAAACATTATTAGGCACTCCAACACAGACTTATAACGTTAAAATGTATTGCTTTAGACCATGTTCTACTTTGATACGAAGTGGAAACCACGCCCAAGTAGTGGTTTAGAGGGATTGGACAGAGTTGGTCCGAACGGCTTGAATGAACTTTCTGCTTTAACATCATATTTAACAGAACGTTAATACCATAGCTGCTTTCCTTTCTATTTCAATTAAAAGCTTAAAGGAACACTATAGGGTCAGGAATACAAACAAGTATTCCTGAAGCTATAGTTGTATAATTACAGTTTAGGGTCCCGGCCCCCCTCTGCTTATTTTAAAAAGGTGTTTTACTCACCTTTTTTCTAGCGAGCACCAATCTTGTTGCGGCTCACCCCAACCCGCCTCATTGGCAGAGATCAACAAACTTGACAATCTCAGCCAATCTAATGCTTTCCCCTAGGAAAGTATTGGGATGCTATTGCAAATAATACCGGCGGCGCCCATCAGTATCTCTTCATATAGATGCATTGAATCTATACATCTCTATGGCATTTCCCATTGCATTAATTTAATGCATCTCTATGCAGAACGTGGAGACGCTGAACAACAGAGCTGCACATTGTGAAGCACTGACCCAGGAAGCACCTCTAATGGCTGTCTGAGTGACTGCCACTAGATGTGTTCTTAGGCAGTAATGTAAATACTGCCTTTTTACATAAAAAAGACAAGAACAAATACATAAAGCTGCAGGAGTTCTGGTGACTATAGTGTCCTTTTACAAATAAATATGAATACCACACTCTAGTCATATATATGACAAAAAATGAATAAAAAAAGCAATTATTTTATTGTTACCTTAACCTACTTTTAAATATGAGTGATTACGGAAATATTGTTTACATTGTATATACGGTTACATTCATCTCTTCATTTAAATAAAATATTATATATTTTTTATTGTTTTGCTCCTAAGTTTATTTTTTATCACTATTTTGATTTTTTTTTTTGTAGCAGCTTGCATATAGGATTTTTTAAATACATATCATTAAATTATACAGATTTATCTCCACCTTTCTCTTTAACAGTTGTTTAGTATCCAACAGCATCTTTTTAGTGATTGGATACAATTCATTAACATATGTTGTCTTAATATGGTATTATGATTCTTTCCAAGGTTTTTTCCCCCTTTTTATTGAAGGGACCGTAATTCTCTAGTTCAAAAACGTTTCTTCAGCTCTCATTTTAGTATATATTATGATTAATTATAACATTTTGATCACAATGTGGATTAAATTTAATACATAGAATAATTTTATGATTTAAACATTGGTTTATTTAGTTTAGTCCCATTGTCCGGTAGAGGCAGGTATTTTTTTTAACCCTTTCATGGAGGGGAAGGGGGCTGGAGGAGCCGTGAACGCAGAGAGACACTACAGTGTTAGGAAAACAAATAAATATTCCTAACACTAAAGTGTTCCTTTAAAAGGGACACTAGTGTCACCATAAAAACTATAGCTTATATTTTTTTCTGGTGAGCAGAATCATTCCCTTCAGGCCTTTTGCTGTAAACATTGTCTTTTCAAAGAAAATGCAGTGTTTACATTACAGCCTAAGGATAACTCTCCTAGAGTAGATGGCTACTAGAGGTGCTTCCTGGGGCAGTGCTGCACACTGTGCAGTATGCCATTCAGTGTCTTCAGTCTCTGCATGCAGACACTGAACTTTACTCAAAGAAATGTATTGATTCAATTCATCACTATGAGGAGATGCTAATTGGCCAGAGCTGTGTTTGACTTGTGCTGGCTCTGCCCTTGATCTGCCTCCTTGACAGTCTCAGCAAACCCTATGGGAAAGCATTGTGATTGACTCACAGAATCACTTCTGATGTCAGCTGTAAGCAGGCAGATCAGGCTTAGAGGCAGCAGCTGCAGACTTGAATACAAGTAAGATTTTATATTTAGGGAGGCAAGGGGATCCAGATGGTAGTTTTAACACTATAGAGTCAGGAATACATGTTTGTGTTCCTGACCCTATAGTATTGCTTTAATATAAAGTCAAGTGGTAGATACAATCTAGGATTAGGAAAGGGAAACAGAGGAAAAAATCCCACTTGTGGTACTTTAGGAGGACTAGGGTTGCCAGTCCATCAGAAAAGGCACATCTTTATCAAAGCACACTTCATATTAATGTTAAATCAAATATTCTCATCTTGATTATAGACAAGGTATCGGTTTGAGTTGTAAAGAATCTGTTGGACAGTTTGCATGTGCATGAATTATCCCTAAATTCCCTTTGGAACACACTACAAACATTCATTCACAAATTGGAATCATCATAAATTAATGAGTAACTGAATGGAAATTAGTGGTGCACACGTTACTGGTATAGGCATCTATGATCTTCATTAAGGAAGATTATTTAAGATAACATATAGCCAAAGTAGATTGTAAACGTAGAATTTTATTTTTAAAAAACAAACTTTTTGATTTTGATTTACTTTTTGTCTATGGAATATACATTTATTGTTGTATTTAAGGCATTTGTAACTTTTCTCTTGTGTTCCTGTATTGTGCTAGGTACAGTCTACTGTGCAAGTGGCATTATACTTTTATCAAATAGATCTGAAGCGGTTTTTAAAACATATGCAACCTATAAGTGACATTCCTAGTACATCCTGCATGGTTATGGTACAGCGAGGACCTCAGTCACTGTGTCCCTAATTAAAGTTGGTCATAACTGCAGATTTTCAAATGATTTCAACAAATCCCTCAACAAAGTTGGTACGGTGTATGAATGAGTACTGTTAAGAAGCCTCATCGCATCCTCCATGCATGTACTTGTACAACATTAAAAGCATAAAACACAAACAGGAAACAGTTTTAAACTTCTTGGATAACCTGACTTGTGTTTATATTCATAACTGGACATCTTAAGTGAGTCTGCCCACTCTAAATCATTTCAAGGAAAGATTATTAAACACCCTGCAGATATCACAACATGGAAAAGCTGGAATTGAAAAGCAGGAAGAGTTAAGTTTTTAGCAATTTGAGCTCTTAATTTATTTTTTTTGCATGTCACTTAATAGAAAATGAAAAGGCACAGCCAACCTCCGGTATGTATCAATTTGGTCCAAAACCAAGCACATATTACAAAGTGTAAAAATATATTTCTTACGTTATCAATTTAGAGAGTGAGATACCTCAAGCATAGATCAGAAATAGGTGAACGCCTCTTTAAGCAATACCAAAAGTATTCTTTAGAAAAGTACTTCGTTCAAGCTTGGCACCCAAAAGCCATAGCGCCCAGGCTATCATGTATTAAACACAATAACAAAAAGGAAAAAAAAAAATAGGATTGCAGTCTCCTCTACATGTTGACTGGGAGAGTTGACAATTTTTAGTAAAGGCACCCTAAGTGTATGGCACACACACACACGTAGGAGCAGTTAAGTATTTCATGAAATATAGATTGGATTATCTGTAAAGAAAGATTTGGAATTTGTTTTCACATCTAAAGATGCTCGTTTTGTTGCTAGTGAAGTTTAATTATGACTGTGTAATTTTGTAGATATTTATGTCCTCTTCTTCATCTCTCTGAACAATGTCTAAGACAAAATGTTGGGGCAAAATATCTTGGAAGAAGGTCAATGTCCCATGTTCTGGACGCATTTTAGAGGACAAGTATATGGTAGTCTGAGGGCCACAAAGATGCTTAAGAGTCCTAAGTAAGAGTGGGTAGGTGTCCTCTATGTACACAATGTCAGCTCCTAGGATGTAATCGAAGTCTTGTGGAAACTTGTCTTGGTCAAGGCCCCATGACAATGCACGGACTTTATTGAGATAGTCATCAGGGAGATTGGCAGCCACATTGGTTTTGATCTGTGACAGTGTGTGTGGAAGATCTGTCATAGTCACATCTCCACCTGCATTAGAATAGAGAAAGTTTCAGTCTAAGATATGCCAACATAACAGGCCTAAATGTTCTTTTTTGGACCAAATCACAGTTCAACAAAAGACAATTTTTCAAGGAACGCCTACTAATTTATTACTTTCTTAAATAAAACACTGATGGTGATCTTCAGAACCGCAACATTAGTGTTTGGTGTTAAACGTCTGCAAAACGGTTTAACTCCTAAAGGTAAGATAGTGCCCAGACACTTCTCCGTCTGTTACATAAACTGCTATGTAGGTGGGAGTGTTCCTTCAAAAGCAGCTCCTTCATATGTTGCAGAGACATACTAAGGTGCCATACCTGCTTTGAATTCAGGGCCTAGAGGCACAGCGGAAGGTAAATATTATTTATAAAGCTCAACCCTGAGGTAGTGTTTATAAACCTATTATGTGAAGTATATAAACCAGCTCACACTTATCTGAAGAAAACATACATAGGCTCACCTCCACCTAAGTGACAATTAGAATTGTTATCCAGCTGCTGACTGGAAGGGGCCTATAGAACATTGCTGTGGTGCAGAGGCCTAAGGGAGCTAGAGGGCACATTTTCAAGCTGACTTAGCCAAGGTAGCAAAAAGAATAGAACGTGAAAGAAAGAACGCAGAAGGTGAGTACTTTGTGAGGGGAAAACCGTGTTTCGATCCAAATTGCTTTTCCATGCCAAACAAAATCCTTGAAAAATAAAGCCACGATTTTACCTCTTTTTTTTCATGCAGAGGACGCAGATTCCTTGAAGAGGAGGAAGGAGGGGGAAGCTCTTTAGCTGCTATGGACATTTTGTATTAAGCAAAAAGCATGCACAAATAGTATTAGGACCTTGCACAATCTCCTACAATTCACAGTTCTCCAATTTTAGAAAAGCTCTGTTTTCCGATACAACCCTGGTGTCCCTGTTTAGGAGGGACAGTACCTATTTTGAGTCTAAATTTCTCTGTCCCACATTTTTTTTTAATCTTAATATCCCTCTTTTCTAGGAGCTTTATATGGTTGGTGTGTGAGTATTATTGGTATGGAGCTCTGTTATACGGTTCCAGTAATAGGTCTTTAAACTACAATAAATGCATTCAAAAGTCAGCCTGTGCAATAAACTACATTGTTCATGCTAGACACAAATAACTGTTGATTTGATAAAATTCTCCAATTCAGTCTAGTCACAGCTTGGCTAGTTTAACCTACATTTTGCAATTGTAATTGTAATTCATGTTTAGTGAATAAACCCTGTAACATTTATATTTTGTCTATGACGCAGAAAGGGATGTGACGCAGACAGGCTCCATTGCGTGAGCACTCAGAACAGCAGTTCAATCTCACCAGACTGCAGAGGAATCTCTAAACCAATGGTTCCCAACCCAGTCCTCAAGTACCCCCTAACAGACCAGGATTAAGGGATTACCCTGTTGTGTCTAAAGTGTTAGACACAACAGGGTAATTCCTAAATCCTGGACTTGTACAGAGTATTTGGGAACCACTGCTCTAAACAGCAGAATCAAACTTTAAGTAGATTTTTTGTTTTGCGATTCACAAAATTTTCCCCTTTCCCCTTTCCAAATGTATTTCTCTCTCTTTTGTCACTCCTTATGGTTTACATCATGTGATGTCATTCTGTGATGTCACATAGTAATAATGGCATATATAATTATGCAAATTTGCATAGCTTTAAAAAAGAAAAAAGTGCTAGCCCTACCTGTGCATGTAATTTACTTTTACATAAAAACTGCAAATGAAAGAACTTTGCTTATTACTATGAGGTCTATATCGACCCTTTGAGTTTAACATTTTGACTGCCAAATTATTACGCAACAGTGTCCATAAAATGAATTGCCTAGCTCCAAGCACTCAAACGATTTTTGTACTTGCAGATCAGATTAATTGCTGGTACATGTATATTTTTTACTTGTATATGCATGACAAAAGGACAACACATGTTTCTACAGAATTTCATAAATAATTAATACCAGTCAGTTATAAAATAGTCTGACACTGCTTGCAGCAGGATATTTTATTACACAGCATTTACCATATGGTGTATAATCCATGCATAGATACACTTCACAAACCAGATTTTTGGGGTCAAAGTCCCTTATATCTTCCAGAAACTGTTAAATTTGTACAGATTTTTGCCAAGTGCTTTGGGAAACATCTTTAAAAAGGATTAAATCTCACGTGAATGGATTTGTATTGAACCACATAGAAAACACTTTTGGTAAATGAAATTTCAACCATGAAAGTTATTGTGGCTGGAATTTTACTAGATTCCATAAGATAATTTAATGCACACTATATAGGCATCCAGATCACTTCAGGCCAGTGGCCCTGTCCTTTTATCTCTGCAATGTAAAACACTGCCATTTTGGCGATACTGCAATGTTTCATGACAGTCAGTAGAGGAGCTTCTACTGCAATAATAAAGTTCAGGCAAATGCTTGTCATAGAGAGCACGTGATTGGTGCAGTACAGTGTATTGCTGTGCATGTGCACTAGCCTCCTAATGCTACCCTAGGGTGAAGTACAGGATTGGCTGAAATCATCAAGATCATGATTATCTCAGTCAAGAAAGCCATCGCGAGACAAGCGGCATGCATAATGTAAGTACAACTTACCTTTTAAAGCCAACAAAGGGGGGCTGGCCCCTAAATAGGTATGGAACACACTAGCATTAGGAATAGGTTTGATTTTCTAACGATATAGTGTTCTTTTAACATATACGGAGTTCTGTATTAAAAAACACCAATTAAAAACAAGTCAAAGATTACGGCTCTATTGGAGCAATATGACCAGGGGTTACTATGCTAATACATGCAAATAAACATGTATTCTGTACGAACAAACTACATTTGCTTTTGGTCTGAGCTAAGCCTGGGTGTGCAGGACAGCTAACAGACACTTCTAAGAAGGAAGTTCTTGCTCACCTGAGGCTGTAGTGGAGGCAGGGAATGGACCTAAGGTTAGACCTCAAACTGTTCTAAAATGGATTTACTGCTGGCAATAGGGAAGTGGGGGGTAAGATCACTTCTGCTTGGTGTGTACGTTTAAGCAAAAATAAGTTGGAATATTTTCCTGTTTTGCTTAATAATTGTGAATCCCTTGTGGATTCTCTGTGGTTCTAGATTAACTTAATCAATACAAGAAGACAATACTTAGTGATGTGTACAACATTGTGTTGTAAACATATCCATAACGTACCCAGCAAAGACACCAGAATTCCCACAATTCCAGTTCCAGCTCCCAGTTCAATAACTTTTTTTCCTTTGAAATTCAGCTTCTGTTCCTCAATAAAATTACAAAAAACAAGTGCCTAGAATGGAGAAGAGAGAAAGAAAAAAAAAAAAGTCCATTAAATGTCATCTCTTCACTGTTAAAGGGCTAGCTGAGAAAGCATAAGGCACCATAACAACTTCATCTTAATTAAGTTGTTATAGAGCCAGGCACACTTACCTCAAGGGGTAAAAACCTTTCTCAAACTGTTTAACCCCAGTGTATCCACCATTGCTTTTCTCAAACTGCAGAGTTTGAGTATGGTTTAACCCCTCAAGGTAAGGGTGGCCTCCTTGCACCATAACAACTTCATTTAGATCAAGTTCTTTTGGTGCCTGAAGTGCCCCTTTAAAACACATTTTATACATCTAAACATCTAAAGACAAAAAAAAAAACCCTAAAAAACAAACAGGGAAATACATGTTCAATAAGAATGTAAACTCTACATGATATGGTTTATTGTTGAGGGTTATATTGGGATTTTCTTTTATTTCCCATATGCATTTAAATGTAATATTGCTTATTTTATGTTTCCAATTCATACTTTGAGCAAATAGTCTGTATTTACCCCCAACCCCTATAATAGGCAAGATGGTAAAATCTCTCATAATTTCAGGTTAAGAGTAGAATATCATAATACATTGTGCATTTATGTGTACATTTAAAGGTTACTCCAAGCACCATGACCACTTCATTGATTTAAAGTGGTCATGGTGCATGAGTCTGTATGTGCAGCTTTTTGCTTTGAAATGCTGCACATACAAAGTTTTACCACTGTTCTGCTGGAAGTGTAATTCCAACTCTGGCAGCATCGTAGGGGTGTCATCATCAGTCAACTGACGCTCTCAGCCAATGACTTTCAACCGCCATGACTTCCAGCTTCTGCAGCCAGCAGGAGCTGAAAGCCCGCCAGTGGACCTTCAGAGAGTACAGAAGCCTGGCAGGAACCCAAGTAACAAGGCCAACTTCTGCTAAACGGTTTGCACCTAACCAGAGAACTGTGCTAGCGCTGTAGTGGGTATGGTGCTTGCAGTAACCCTAACGGTCATTTAACGGTCATTTCTTATTAATAAGCACTGACAGTATATATAAAAAAAGACTGAATGACAAAATATGCAGCATTTTTGTGTGCATTCCTTTTTATCATTAAAACTACATATCCATGATTAGTTCTACAAAATGGATGGATAAAATTGTATTTCTTCCTGGATATTAAAATATTCCGTACCATGTCTTGGTGTTAAATTACTTGTATACTGGGTTTTAAACTACACCTTTGCAAAACAATGTTATAGCAACCATTCGGTTGATTTACCTGCTCAGTACCCTAAGCTTATTAGAATTTATTTAAAAATCAGAATGGTAATTTAGAAAACAAATGTAAAAATGCACATAAGGATTCTATGTGCAGCAGAATATATTTTCATTATAAAGGGTCTGTAAAGATTTATAAGTAAATATATCTTGTAGTAAAATATAGTGGTGGTATATATTCACGGTGCCAAATGATAATTATTGAATGGCAAACCCCCTCATTCTCGTTAAATACTTTCCTCCCTTTCTCTAGTAATACACAGCATATAATGCATAATGGAAGATTTTAAATTTGGTTAGTTGAAGTTTCACGGTGTGAAAATACCAGACAGTTCAATTCAAGTAATGGGACTTAATGTAATCAATAAATTGTTAGAATGTGAGGCACACAGAAACAGAAGATCACATTAGGTTGTAAATAGAGACTTGGCATGGGATAGGTCTAGACTCTAGCATGACCAATTCCCACACCTTAAGTAATCGTCAAATTCTGCAAAAAAGCATTACGTAATCGTATGTTAAAGTATCACACAGTAAAGTACACATGTCTGACAGGGAGTTAGACAGACAGAGCTGCTATAAATGAATGCTGTCATTTTTGATTTAGTCTCTAGACAGCCCTGTTGCTGTGAGTCATGTGAACACAGATGTGCACACAGCAGCAAATGCCACGCTGCTTGCTGGATACACTGTCTGCATCGGCAGCCATTTGCTGGATACACAGTCTGATCTCGAGGATACACTGTCAGATGCAGGACTCGGCAGCCATTTGCTGGATGTCTGATCCCACGCAGGACTTTGCTGGATACACTGTCTGATGGTAGCCAGCTGATGCTGAAATACACTGTCTGATGGTAGAAATCTTTGCTAAATACACTGTCTGATGGTAGAAATCTTTGCTAAATACACTGTCTGATGGTAGAAATCTTGCTAATACACTGTCTGATGGTAGCCATTTGCTGAATACACTGTCTGATGGTAGAAATCTTTGCTGAATACACTGTCTGATGGTAGCCATTCCTGCTGAATACACTGTCTGATGGTAGCCATTCCTGCTGAATACACTGTCTGATGGTAGCCATTCCTGCTGAATACACTGTCTGATGGTAGCCATTCCTGCTGAATACACTGTCTGATGGTAGCCATTCCTACTGAATACACTGTCTGATGGTAGCCATTCCTACTGAATACACTGTCTGATGGTAGCCATTCCTACTGAATACACTGTCTGATGGTAGCCATTCCTACTGAATACACTGTCTGATGGTAGCCATTCCTGCTGAATACACTGTCTGATGGTAGCCATTCCTGCTGAATACACTGTCTGATGGTAGCCATTCCTGCTGAATACACTGTCTGATGGTAGCCATTCCTACTGAATACACTGATCTGATGGTAGCCATTCCTGTCTGATGGTAGCCATTCCTGAATACACTGTCTGATGGTAGCCATTCCTGCTGAAGCCATTCCTGCTGAATACACTGTCTGATGGTAGCCATTCCTGCTGAATACACTGTCTGATGGTAGCCATTCTTGCTGAATTCCTGTCTGATGGTAGCCATTCCTGCTGAATACACTGTCTGATGGTAGCCATTCTTGCTGAATACCTGTCTGATGGTAGCCATTCCTGCTGAATACACTGTCTGATGGTAGCCATTCTTGCTGAATTCCTGTCTGATGGTAGCCATTCCTGCTGAATACACTGTCTGATGGTAGCCATTCTTGCTGAATTCCTGTCTGATGGTAGCCATCCTTGCTGAATACACTGTCTGATGATAGCCATTCTTGCTGAATACCTGTCTGATGGTAGCCATCCTTGCTGAATACACTGTCTGATGGTAACCATTCTTGCTGAATACCTGTCTGATGGTAGCCATCCTTGCTGAATACACTGTCTGATGGTAACCATTCTTGCTGAATACCTGTCTGATGGTAGCCATCCTTGCTGAATACACTGTCTGATGGTAACCATTCTTGCTGAATACCTGTCTGATGGTAGCCATTCTTGCTGAATACCTGTCTGATGGTAGCCATTCTTGCTGAATACCTGTCTGATGGTAGCCATTCTTGCTGAATACCTGTCTGATGGTAGCCATTCTTGCTGAATACCTGTCTGATGGTAGCCATTCTTGCTGAATACCTGTCTGATGGTAGCCATTCTTGCTGAATACCTGTCTGATGGTAGCCTTTCTTACTGAATACCTGTCTGATCCTATGTAGGACTCTGCAGCCAGCCTTGTTGAGTGCAGTCTAATCCCATGCACCAAGGACTCGGCAGCTAGCCCTTCTAAAGCCACGCTCTTTTCCCATCCCAAACTCGGCACCCAGCCGTCCTGAATGCATTTTGATCCCATGCAGGACTCGGCAACCAGCCGTGCACGGTCCCCGTACCCATGAGTATCTGTTAGTAAATCTCCCGATACTTACCGCATCCCACACCGGAGCGGCCACCCCCAGGTTAGCGCCGTAGTGCTCGGTGATGCGCATTTCGCGGCCGCAGAACCTGTAGCGGGTCTCCTCGGTGTATATATCCGAGAAGAGTGAGCCCAGGTCCCGCGGCAGCACTTCGCTCAGCCCGCTGTCGGCGTACGGCCATTGCATGGTTCGGGGTCGGTGAGATTTCAGCGTGTGACGAATCCCACCCAGGCTCACTCCGATACCATGCTACTTCCTGCCATGGGGGCTGCAATACCAGCGACCGCCACCAGGGCTCAGCGAATGCCCTGCTCCATCTAACACACACAGCATGGCTTGTACACAATACGTGACGTGTCATTTATTGATACATTATTGGGGCAGACACATGGCTCATTCTGTATATTATTATTATTATTATTAATAAAGCACCAAGAATATACAGTATATCTAAATACTCACAGTCTGTGCTCACTGTACACAACTGATATTTTTATAGAATGTTATCATACTTGCCATCCATAAAGTGACAAATAATTCTTTTTTTTTAATTATTATTATTTGCGTTCCCAGCACTGTAATATAACAATATAATATATATACACAATATAATATAACATCACACTGTACTTGGGAAGTAAGGTAATGAGACAGGTAACAGGACAAGCCCTCCCTATATAGGAGGGGCAGTTCTTTTCAACCAAATATCTTCTATAGCCCCACTATCCTTTATTGGAACTCAAAATTGTCTGTTGTGAATAAGGATATTTGTCATAGCAACACAGACATAAAACTCACAATAGATGTCTTTAAACTGCAATAAATGCATTTAGAAAATATTTTGTTTTGGTAATTCAAATTTTTGGTTTTATTGTAACTCATATTTTCATTTGCATAAATGTCTACAGGTTTGTCATATAGTCACCTAACAAGAACTTGATTAATTCAGTTTCCTGGTCACACCTTCAGTCATATCCTTAGCAGACATCCCAACATGCCAAAAACCATTTCAGGTAGGTGGTTGTACCCCCCATGCATGCCCCCCACACATGCACACATACATAGATATACACATTGACACATACTCACAGATACACATATACATACACTGGCAAAGACACTTAGATACACACACTAGCACATACACGGCAGCCAACTGTTAGCTTACCTTTTGGTGTCTGGGCTGAGGATGATCGGAGTGAGCATGCAGCGGCAGCTTACTCCAGCCCAGGGGTCAAGTCCTGGGGAGCAAAGTGTGGGAACTCACCCAAGATCCCCCCCCCCCCCATGCATATAGTGCGGTGCAGGGTGTGTATAATGGATGTTGTGTGTTTGTAGTGAATGCAGAATATGAATAATTAATGTAGTGTGTTTGTAGTGAGTGCAGAGTGTGTTTAATGAATGTAGTGTGTTTGTAGTGAGTGCAGTGTGTATAATTAATGTAGTGTGTTTGTAGTGAGTGCAGAGTGTGTATAATGAATGTAGTGTGTTTGTATTAAGTGCAGAGTGTGTATAATGAATGCAGTGTGTATAATGAATGCAGTGTGTTTGTAGTGAGTGCAGATTGTGTATAATAAATGTAGTGTGTTTGTAGTGAGTGCAGAGTGTGTATAATGAATGTAGTGTGTTTGTAGTGAGTGCAGAGTGTATAATAAATGTAGTGTGTTTGTAGTGAGTGCACAGTGTGTATAATAATTGCAGTGTGTTTGTAGTGAGTGCAGAGTGTGTATAATGAATGTAGTGTGTTTGTAGTGAGTGCAGAGTGTGTATAATGAATGCAGTGTGTTTGTAGTGAGTGCAGAGTGTGTATAATGAATGCAGTGTATGTAGTGTGTTTGTAGTGAATGCAGAGTGTGTATAATGAATGTAGTGTGTAGTGAGTGCAGAGTGTGTATAATGAATGCAGAGTGTGTAGTGAGTGCAGTGTGTATAGTGAATGTAGTGTGTTTGTAGTGAATGCAGAGTGTGTATAATGAATGTAGTGTGTTTGTAGTGAGTGCAGGGTGTGTATAATGAATGCAGTGTGTTTGTAGTGAGTGTAGTGTGTCTAATAAATGTAGTGTGTTTGTAGTGAGTGCAGAGTGTGTATAATGAATGTAGTGTGTTTGTAGTGAGTGCAGAGTGTGTATAATGAATGTAGTGTGTTTGTAGTGAGTGCAGAGTGTGTATAATGAATGCAGTGTGTAGTGAGTGCAGAATGTGTATAATGAATGCAGTGTGTGTAGTGAATGTAGTGTGTTTGTACTGAGTGCAGAGTGTGTATAATGAATGCAGAGTGTGTATAGTGAATGTAGTGTGTTTGTAATGAGTGCAGAGTGTGTATAATGAATGTAATGTGTTTGTAGTAAGTGCAGAGTGTGTATAACAAATGTAGTGTGTAGTGAGTGCAGAGTGTGTATATTGAATGCAGTGTATGTAGTGTGTTTGTAGTGAATGCAGAGTGTGTATAGTGAATGTAGTGTGTTTGTAGTAAGTGCAGAGTGTGTATAATGAATGTAGTTTGTAGTGAGTGCAGAGTGTGTATAATAAATGCAGTGTGTTTGTAGTGAGTGCAGAGTGTGTATATTGAATGCAGTGTATGTAGTGTGTTTGTAGTGAATGCAGAGTGTGTATAGTGAATGTAGTGTGTAGTGAATGCAGAATATGTATAGTGAATCTAGTGTGTGTAGTGAGTGCAGTGTGTATAGTGAATGTAGTGTGTTTGTAGTGAGTGCAGAGTGTGTATAATGAATGTAGTTTGTAATGAGTGCTGGATGAAGTTTGTGTGTGCTGGATGATGTGTGTGTGTGTGCTGGATGACGTGTGTGTGTGTTGGATGATGTGTGTAATTTCAATTTCTCTTCCTCCCTAATTTCTCTCTTCTCACCCCCCTCCCATTTCCTAATTTTCTTTCCCTCCTAATATCTCTCCTAATTTCTCTTCCCCCCTTTCTTTCTCTTACCCCTCTTTCTCACCCCCCTCATTTCTCTTTCTCACCCCCCCTTTTCTCTTTCTCACCCTCCTTTTCTCTCTTCCCCCTCCTTTTCTTTCTCACCCCTCCTTTCTCTCTCACCCTCTCTTTTCTCACCCCCTTTCTCTTCCCTCCTTTCTCTTCCCTCCTTCTCTTCCCCCCTCCTTCTCTTTCACCCTCCTTTCTTTCTCCTTTCTCCTCTTTTCTCCCCCCTTTTTCTCCCCCTTTCTCCTCTTTCTCACCCCCCTCCTTTCTCTCTCACCCCTCTTCTCCTCTTTCTCACCCCTCCTTTTCTCCTCTTTCTCACCCTCCTTTCTCAACCCCCTTTTCTCCCCCACCCCCCCCCCCCTCCTTTTTGCTGTAGCGTGGCCGAGCCCTGTATAGTCCGCGGATACAGGGAGCATCTGTTTCCTGTACCCGCCGGACTAACAGGAAGTGCACACTCAGTGTGCACTTCCTGTTAGTCCGGCCGGGTACAGGAGACAGCTGCTCTCTGTACCCGTCGGACCATCATGCTGCAGGGCTCGGCCACGCTACAGCAAAGGAAGCTGACAGGAGGGAGCGCTGAGCGCTTCCCTCCTGTCAGCCTCTCCTCAGGCTGCGCCCGGGCGGTGCGGTCCGACCTCATGGGCGGCTGCAGCATGGGGGGGCCGGCGGGGCTGGTCATGGCACCCCCCACCCTGGTGGCACCCGGGGCGGACCGCCCCCCCCCACCCCCCACCCCCCCTTAGTACGCCACTGCCTCTCCCTGCTTCTTACCTTGTCAGGGAGGGGGGAGATCGTCTGGTGGTCCGGTGGAGGGAGGCAGCCGGTGCACACGGGGGCCCAGCGAGAGTTAGAGCTGGAGAGGGAACACAGCGTGTGCTGGCCCCTGTGTGCAGGTAGCAGGGCAGGTCCTGCAGCACAGGTAACGGGAACGGCATTCCTGCTTTGGAAAAAGTGCAGGAACGCCATTCCCATGCGTTCCTGCAGGAATCGAGCCCTGCTCCAGCCTCTCCATACTGCCTGCTCTGGTGCTGCCTCCAGCTGCCTCCTTCTCCTCCCTCCCCAGCGGCTGTTTTTTTCAGCATACCACTTCCTCCCAGCTGGCAGATACTGCAGGGGCCCAGTCAGGCTCTTATAGGGCCGGGCACCTGACCGGGCTGCTGTTCAAGAACAATACCATACAGGTGGGTAATCAGTAGGGGGCATTTTTTATGTGTAATATCCTGAAAATCAAACACACACACAATCTGACATGCATTGTATGTCAGATTCTATGTGTGATTTCTGGGATATTTCACATGGTGTGCGGGTGTCCGGGAACCTCATTAAACATGCGGGAGTCCCAGAATTCCCGGGAGACTTGGGATGTCTGTCAGGGCCGGCGCATCCTATAGGCAAATGAGGCAGTCGCCTATGGCGCCCTGGCCCAGGGGGCACAAGATTTGAGTTACCCGGCAGGAGGGAAGCGCATAGCGCTCCCTCCTACCTGTCACTCAGTGTAGCGTGGCCGTGGACAGTTCCTGTCAGTCCAACCGGGTACAGGAAATAGAAGCTCCTGTATCGCGGTCCACCACCCGCACTGCCCGTCCACCCTACAAAGATAGGTAGAAGGTGAGGAGTGCGGCTGAGCCCCAATGGGCTTTGGGGTCCAGCCACACTCCTTACCCTGCTGCTAAACCTTGACCTCTGCATATAGATATTCACAGCTAGACTTATTTTTGCTTTATTGCTCCACATTGCAGGACCGATCTTCGGGGTTGGCAGGGAGGGTGTTTTGTTATCGTAGTGCATAGATAGCAGTTATTAGGGCTTATCTATCATTCTCATTTAGCAGCAGATTAGGTGCCCTTGAAAGCACAGATACTGCATGTCTCCACTGTTAGACATATATTCAGCAGACATTTAAGTGCCCTTTGAAGCACAGACTTAGGGCTCCTATATCTTATATCTATTCAACGACCATACCCTATACTCTTTGCTTTGCTAACCTTCAAATATCATAAAAAGGCACTTTGTATAAAACTGCATTTGACTTATTTCACCCATTAAACAACTCTTTATGCACTGTTATTATATATTCGCTTTTGCTTAATAGATAAACTGCGGTCAGAAAGGCATTTATCCCCTGGTCTAAATTCCGACTTATCTAGACAAGCGCTGCGGATGGGGGGTGCGAGGGAGGGGGGCACTGCAGTTTTCTATAGTGACAGTAAAGCGGCTGTGTTTTCCTGGCAATATAGAATCCCTTTAAAGGACCACTATAGTGCCAGGAAAACATACTCGTTTTCCTGGCACTATAGTGCCCTGAGGGTGCCCCCAACCTCAGGGACCCCCTCCCGCCCGGCTCTGGAAGGGGGAAAGGGGTTTAAACGTACCTTTTTCCAGCGCTGGGCGGGGAGCTCTCCTCCTCCGATCCTCCTCCGTTCCCCCCCGGGCTGAATGCGCACGCGCGGCAAGAGCTGCGCGCGCATTCAGCCGGTCACATAGGAAAGCATTCACAATGCTTTCCTATGGACGCTGGCGTGCTCTCACTGTGAAAATCACAGTGAGAAGCACGCAAGCGCCTCTAGTGGCTGTCAATGAGACAGCCACTAGAGGAAATAGGGGAAGGCTTAACCCATTCACAAACATAGCAGTTTCTCTGAAACTGCTATGTTTATGAAAAAATGGGTTAACCCTAGCTGGACCAGGCACCCAGACCACTTCATTAGGCTGAAGTGGTCTGGGTGCCTAGAGTGGTCCTTTAAACACTTTCCCTTAGTCTTCCTGACTCTGGGTGACACAACTGGGCTGTAGGGACAGATGTTCAAGAACACAGAGGACAATTTGTGTTTTACACAAGGATATCATGTGACATAGAACAAGAAAGCTTATAAACCCATACATAATTAAAATATTCACTATAAAGCCAAATGTACAACTACATCTGATCATCACTCCTATATGAGCTTGTTTGACATCCCAATCCTGCAATTCCAAAACTAAAGGAATTAACATGGAGTTGGCCCCCTTTGTGACTATAACAGCTGCTACACTTCTGGAAAGGCTTTCAACGTGATTTTGGATCGTCTTTTTGGGGATTTAAGCATATTTAGCCAAAAGAGAATTTGTGAGGTAAGGCAGTAATGTTGGACAAGGACTGGCTCAGAGTCGGCGTTCCAATTCATCCCAGTAGTCTTCAATGTGATTGAGGTCGGAACTCTATACACACCACTCACATTCCTCCACACCAAACACTGCAAACCATTGCATGGTGTAAATCAGCCTCAGTCCATGCCTTTCTCATTTTTAGCAATGGGAAACTAGTGATAAGCTGAGCTGGGACTGAGGCAGAGAAAGATGGGCCAGACAACTTTGGGTTTAAACTGTTCGTAAAATTTTTAACCCCTTTAAAGCAGGGGTGGGGAACCTTCGGCCCTCCAGATGTCTTGGACTACATCTCCCATAAAGCTCTCACAGCCATAATGCTGGCAAAGAATCAAGGGAGATGTAGTCCTAAACATCTGGAGGGCCGAAGCTTCCCCGTCTTAAAGGGACACTCCACTGCCCAAATAAAAAAAATAAAATTGCTATTTAAATAGGCCTACAATGAATACATGCGTGCATTTATTATGCATTTTTTCACTGGGGGTATATCTATTGACTACTTCCAAAAGCTGCATAGCTTTTGTCTTGTTTCTGCAATATCGCCCCTTCTAACCCCACTCAGACTTTATGCGACTGTCCAATCAGAGACATCCCAATGCACCTTAATGAGAAGTCTTTGTTAGTCAAGTCCTTTGAGCAATTGCTGCCTCTTGAGTTTAGCTCCACTGAGCTAAATAACCAGGAAGTAACATGATGAGTTGCCCTGGGGGATTGATCTAATTCGGATAATTTATAAATGTGCTCATATCTATTTAAATCTGCACTTTTTATAACATGACAAAATAGGACACACAATTCACACATAAAGCACTTCACCAGGCAAAATGTGTGAAAGGAGTGATAGTTTAAGGTAAGATGGCGCCCAGGTACCATAATAACAAATTGTATTGAATTGTAGTTAATTGAAAATTGAATTGCAAAATTTGTGTATAAACCAGCTGGTTTGGAAAAAAAATATTTAACTCAGCTATAGCCCAGATAGGCTTCATTAGTCTAAATGATGCATGTCAGTTTTCAGTACTCCACAATTTGGTGAATAAACTACAAATATTGTTTTAAAGGCCATTATACACTTCAATTACCACTTTCATTGGTCTCAAGGTAAGATGTTATTCTTTATTGAAAACATTATGTCCCCTCCCCCACTATAATATAATATTAAAGGTTAAAGGGCCGTGTCAAACTACAACTTCAGTTCACTGATCCGATAAAGAAACATTGTGAAGCTATCAACCTGAACAGCGATTTTGCTTGCCTCTAACCATGGTCGAGCTGTGAGACCCTCCAGATAATAATCAGCTCGCATAAAGACTTGGGACTTTGGCTTCACTGTTGTTAATGTATTTGGCCACAATCCAAGTCAGAGAATTGCATAAGGTTCCACAGGCTGCAAACCTAGCTCACTGTCCTCAATGTTAAATATTCACATCTCTTCATCCACCATTAGCTTGTAGATCTACTGTTCTTCTGACCCTTTACTAACCCTTTCACTTTTAACATGCCTGCCGTGCTGTCATGACACAAGAGCAAATATTTTGATTACACACTATGGCTGCCAGAGAATACATAGAAATATATTTTGTTCTAACGGAACTGGGTTAATCCTCTATACACTACTCTACAATATAAATACCTATACTGATTGGGTTATCTTGAAATACTTTGTGTACCTTTTGGTCTATTTTATGTGTCATGAATGTCGTTTGGAATGACAGGTTACATTGTCAGCCAATCGTATCCATTTTCTGGCAGCTATTGGTACCAGTATGTTGACCATCCTCAGGACAGAATCTCCAGGCAATACCTGTCTCTGAAAACCTATAATGTTCTGTACGCATCTGCTGAATGTGTAATTACTTGTCGATAAACTGTCTACTAAGATGGAAATTTGGTTTTGTCAAAATACAAACCGACTGAAATATTGTCAATATTTTGTGAATTACCAAGAGATTCTCATGTAAATACCAAGTGAATCAGAGCAGGATTAGCCATACAGCGATGAAAGAAGTCTACTAGAGCTCAAGGGCTAGACAGAGGACCTAGAAATCATTCTCTGATGTGAATGTCATGCAAATATGCACCGCTTTCTGGCACTATTGTTTGCACCTGACAAAGTCTGATTTTATAAATGACCAGTCAAATAAACCCACAATACGAGCAATGTGTAAGTCAGGATAGCGTTAAATATGCCTTGTGCGTGATTTTGCTTAACGTTAGGGGTTCATCCTGGCAATGCACGTCTAGCTCATTGGATGAAGCTAGACCTGCACTACAAAGATCTTAAACACAAGCATGACAACGTAAAATCAGGAATGGGAAGGCATTGTCTGTTTTAGTATGTTTTGACATACTAAACTTACCTGGGTCCCAACTGGAGCAAGAGGCTCCATCATCTGTCTCTTTATTATAATAAAAAAAAAAACATTTAGCCAAAACAGACCAATGATGGTTAAAGTGCTGACTGCTCCTTTAATTTAATGTCTGTGTATTTTTTTTTAATACATCATCTATATTATGAATTAGCTCCAGCCTGGAGCCCCCTTTAACACTTGCCCTTTTAATACCCTTATAAAAGTGTACATTTTGTATTGATATATGGACTTTGCCATAATGTTTTGTCCTGGCTTGACTTTTTGCTTGATTCTATTTAGCTTATATACGCCTTAAATTCGGTCTAATCCTGGCCTTTTCTGATAACATACTCTTTTGTTCAATTTGCTTACAGTGGTAAAACTGTCCTATTGTACAGCCTTTGTAAAATCCTCTGTAGTTGGTCTCCCACAGATAAAGAACATTGTCCAATAGCCTTCTGTTTGTACAGTACATTCTATACTTTGTTCTGTTTGATGTTAAAGTGAAAAGTTATGATGGAAGATATACTGCAGAGTAAAACGAGGTTGCTGTACAATATATATCAGTACACATACCGTAATTAAAAAAGCAAACATTTTCGATTAAAAATGATACAATATTGTTTTAATATGACATCTCATACATGTGTGTGTATAAACTATATGAGCAATATTTACATTGTGAAATCACATTTAGCTCTAAAGAAGATTAAACGGCAACAAAAAATAGAAAGAAATTAAAGAATGGAAAAAAATACCTAAAATGTTTGCATTTTCAACCTGAACTACTACTGATTAATTTTTGTTAAGTTATGTATCTCTCTCACTTCTTATTGTTGGCATAACGATTGTCTTGTACACCAAATGCTACGTGGAACTGCCAGCCTGTTCTCTATTTATTATCATTGTCTAAATGTTACTGCTACTACTTTCCTGACTATACTGTCAATTATAAATAAAAAAATCAATAAACAAAGAATATGTAAAATAAATAAATAAATAAATGCTTGCGTTTTTTTGCAATTTCCGAGATTATACAATGAGTTCTGCCCCTTGTATTACTATAATGAACAGGACATTGTTTTTTTGTTTTTTTTCCATGAATGGATCTAAAATATATGAGGGAACCTTTCAGGGAAGTTGCTAGGTGGCAAAAAAACAGGGGCTTCAGCCCCTTGACCCTCCCACATATATTGACTGAAGAATCTCCTGAAACCCACGTCCCTGTTCTATGTCTCAACTGCAAACCTAAACCCTAACATGTTCTCTAAATTATATTTAAACACCAAGCCTTTGAATAAATTCAGTGTAAGAAAATGATTTTCAGTGGTGAAGACCCTTGTGTACGATAAACCAGAATGCCGTGGACTTCAATTTAGAGATCTCTGCTTTAACCTGAACCCTTATTAATTGCAGCGTTGGGGAAGCCCCAAATGAATGCCAATCACACCAGTTCATAAAGAACTGCCCAAGATTTGAATGCATAGTAACATAATAAAGTATATTCATGTCTACAGGCATGATGTAACTTTGTACCAATCAAAAGTTAACAAGTTTTAAAAGCACTACATTTTGGGGGCCATAAATCCAGCCCATCCTTACCAAACTGGCATTACGTTATCTCTGTTAGAGGCGTGTGATTTCTCAGTTATTTGCTGCCCAACAAAAAATTAGTTTGCTGGGAAAAACATAAAGTGTGAACAATGTCCTTGAAATTTTAGCATAAAACAAAGAAAGGGACTAACGCCTAAACATGGTCATATCAAAAGGTAAAAAAAATCTATTTCATCATTCAGAGTATTATATACTGTATATTATATAAATTATATAAAGGCATTTGATTCAGACGAACCATCAAAATGAACTTTTGCACAAGTCTAATAGGAGCAAGCATCTTCTCTGTAACATTCAATTGATGCCTTTGGCATCTTGTGGGAGCTTCTATTGACCTCTGATTTGTACACTTACACATGAGCATTGATTGGAGAGATTTAACTAAAATTTGGAATTTTGTTAAGAACAATGTGTGAATAGATGGAATATCACCTAGGAATAACACGTTTTAAGCCAAACAACTGAAATAAAAAAAAAACAAAAAAAAAAACCAGAAGACAGGAGAGAAGGGATTGATCTGAGGAAGCCAATTGGCAAAACGCGTCATCAGGCACACGCCACGTCACGTTATGTCGTCACATGGATCAGATGCAAACCCCACCTCCAGGAGGTGCTCTTGTCGGATGTCGAAAAGCCCAAGGTCCTGCAGTCGGCAGCGGACTGAGAGGTCTGGTGACACTGAACATGAGTTATTCATAAGAGAGAGAAGTACTGGGGACGTTTTTATTGAATATTGATGCAATAAAGGATTGGAAACATACCTAATGCTGGCATCCTTTCCTGCCCTGTTGACCAGTTAAGGGATCTATCCACGTTAATCAGTTAGAGCAGGCTGTCAGGGTATTTATATCGGCAGACATTTTGTGCTATGATAGAAACTAAAAGTGTATATTCTGAGTCACTCTGAACAGACCAGACTCCATTTTGTTATTTTCAAGTTAACAAAAAGACACAAGATTTCTTTCTGTAAGACTAGCCACTTTGCCAGAGCTAAAAGGAATGCATAGTATAAACAAGTGATAAGAAGAATATAATCAATTCTAAACCCAGACAATTGTGACAGAGAAGATTAAATAATAAAATTTAACTGTCTATACATATAAGGTCCCATTGTAAGTTACGGGTCAAAACTCAGATTGCTAGACACATAGTCTGGACAAAACTTAAATAAACCCTTTGATCTGTGAAGGATACGTAAGTTATGGCCACTATCTAGATAGGCCAAAATGACGTCAAAATAGCCACCAGGAAAAGTTAACTCTTTCCTGGATAGGTATGTTTAGTGGGACAAGACTGCCCTCTATAGACTAAATACCTAAATTGCGATCTGGAAGATAACCACACCTCTAGTGCTTCTATTGGGTTATCAACTGATGACGTACAGAGTCTGGCCCTTTAAAAGTTAAGACAAAGGGAAGATAGAGATAGGCAGGAAAGGCAAAGGAGAAAGAAAAAGAGGAGAGAGGAATTGGAAGTTTGGGGACTCCAACCTCCATGCAGAGAGACATCCAAATAAGTTTCTGAGACTACCAATCGGATGAAATATCTACTCAACTGGTAATTATACTGGTTTCATTTAATTAATTTAATTAATTAAAATGTATTAATAGCATTATATATGATTGGATAAAGCACGGTCAGATTTCCATATTAAGAAATCTTAGTTAACTAAAGAATATATAGTTATAAACATTCCATTCTGCAGCTGGAATTAAGAATAATTATATATTGATGTGATATTATCATGTGGTAGCATACCGTTGTTTTTATCCAGGTGTATTGATTTGCTCTAAATTAAGATAAGATATCTTTTAGACAAATTAAAATCTGCTTATAAAATATGGTAGATTCTCTTATTGGATGGTTCCAGGAAATGACTAATGAACTGGTCTAAATGTTATTTTGTTTAAAATTACATAAGAATAGATCTTAACTACCTAGGAGATCTAGCCAGCATTGAAAGGGTTATTCTAACTGTCAGCTAACGTTACGACCTTACACTGCACTCTGAAGAATTCTGTTCTCTGAGTGAAACTTTTTTCGCTGTGAAAAGTTTTCCTTTCAGTCTGTAAGGATACCTCATAAATCGTGTAAGACTTGACAGAAAATGTTGTTATAGCCATTCCTTTGTATTGCATACCATTTTATACTGGATATTCATTGATTATTGTCATGCATGTTGCATAATATTATTATTAATTAATTTGTCATATAAATAAAAATCAATTTTTATACATTGTGATTTTAATTATATGAAATACTTTCACTTACGATAAACGTTCTTTGGGATCTGAGAATTGAATTAGTGGGCAATTTTCACTGTTTACTATTATTATCCCATAAATATCCCCACAAGGCTCATCTGCTCTTCGTTTGTGACTGTTCCATAACATTATTTCAGTATCTATACTTCTTACATACAGATTTGCACTATGTACCTTTCTCAGTTTTTATAGGCACCCAGACCACTTCAGCTTAATGAAGTGGTCTGGGTGCCAGGTTCATCTAGGGTTAACCATGCAGCTGTAAACATAGCAGTTTCAGAGAAACTGCTATGTTTACATATGGGTTAATCCGCGAAAATCACAGTGAGAAGACGCTAATGTCCATAGGAAATGCTTTCCTATTGACTGAGAAATGCTTTCCTATGGAATGATTGAATGCGCGCTGATGTCGGAAGAGGGAGGAGAGTTCCCAAGCGCTGAGTGTTTAACCCCTTCAGCCCCCTTTAGCCCGGCACTATAGTGGTCCTTTAAAGTGGAGGATAAATAGGTGCCTACATTTTTAAACAACTTAATTATTGTAAGTGTTTTATTTTTTTACTATATGGACTATGGCCAAGGTACTGCACAATATTGTGACTATACTAGGTTTTGCACAAAGTCACTTTAGTGATTCATATGCACGTTGACGGTTTAAAAGAAAATTAGTGAGTTTACACCTTTTTAAATTTGTGTTAGTCTTAAAGACACCGCACACCTATATTTGTTTTTGTTTAAATGTATTGGAGTGTATATATAGGGGCTATTGCACTTTAGTTGCTGCTTTTTGTTTGTACATTTTGCACATTTTATAAGGAATTTGCTTTAAAATTTTTGTAGCGACATTTTTTACTTGTTGTTTTATGTGTTATTATATAAACCTATCTTTATTAACTCTACAATGGTTGTATTAACCACATTTGGTTAATGAACTTTTAAGGACCCCAGTATGGGCCCCAGTGGCTGTGAGCTCCCCAACAACACCCCTAAAACCTATGAAAAGTAGAGACTAGTATGGAGTCAATGCATTCTTGTACTTATAGTGAGAATCACATAAGTAACAAAATGTGTGGTGGCAGACACAGGAGACTCAAAACTTATCTTATGCAAGAAGCAATAGGTGCCTATGAATTTTGGAGTGTCCCTTTAATTATGTCACCTCTTGAGTTGGTCACATGACATTTATGAGGCTAAAAGGCCCTACCAGATAGTTATTATATTAGTTTAAATTTAAAGCCATATAAAGTTATTTGTGTATAACCGGAAGTATGGTATAGTGATATGATAGAAGTGAAAGAAATAGTTTCTGTGTGGGATTATTTATCAAGCTATAAATTACTATTTAATAGAGATTTTTGTAAAATAATTTGAAATGTCAGCAAGGCTTTAATTTAATATGTAACTTACAATCATCTTGGCTTCAAAACTGGAGCATTGCAGAATGAAACCCCAGCACCGCCTACAGGGAAAATCTCTACTGTTACCGTAATTTAGCTTTTTTCCACCAAACTTCTCACAAAAAAACTGCAAAACAAACATTTCTAAACAAAGCATAAGATAGAAAATTATTCTCAAAGTAAAGAAGGAATATGGCCCCAATTTAATACTTTCAGATAAGCTTTTCAAATGATTTAATATTTTTGGATTACCTTTTAAAATTATTTAATATT